TCTCCTCCCTCTAATCTACAGCTAATTGGAATAATTGGAAGGATGAGGTTGATAAAAGAAGATAAAAAATGAAGAAAATTGGCGGGTTGGGGAGGCGATAGGTGGTGGATAGAGGAATTTTTTATCCGGGATGATCAACGCCCAGCCAGTTATTTAGCTAAAGATGGTTCACATAAACCTATATTAGTGGGGAAAAATATGATCTTGATTAAAAATAAATACTAATATTATTATTATTTTTTTTTTACATTAAATAATATTCCTTTAAGATTAAATTTGATTCAATAACATATTTAAAATAAAAGTTTATGACGTGGGTGGTAGGCTGAGCGTCCCACTTCATCCTAGGAAAAAAAGATATGATCTAAGATTATAGGGACCCCGAGTATAAATTAAATAATGGATGTAAATATGTAAATAAACGTAAATGCTCCGAGACTTTACCGTAAATGACTGTATTTTCGTATTTAACTTAAGGGTGTTTGAGAATTAACCCTGTCTATTATATACACAGACTCCTCCCTCCCCTCCTCCTCATTATCTTTCTCTTCTTGCCCCCCTTTTCTCCTCCTCCCCCTCCTTTCCCTGTTTCCTCCCTCTCCTCCTCGTGTTTTCTTTCTCTCTTTTGCTATTCTTCCTCTTCCCCCCCCCCTCTCTCTCTCTTTCTCCTTCTACCCATCTCCCTCCCTTCCTCCCTGCCATCTTTCTACCTCCCTTCCTCTTCTTCCTTTCTCTCTCTCCTCCTACCCGTCTCCCATCCTTCCTCCTTTCCGCTAATCTCCCCCATTCCTCCTCACCCCCTCTCTCTCCCTCTTCTCCCATTCCCTCTGTATATTTTTTCTTTTATAAACTCACAGTACTGACGCGTCATTGTGATGTCATAAATAACTAACTGTAAGTTCGATACCTGACAGTCACATCACAGTCAAATCATCCCAGAAACAGTCGACAGTCTTAACTAATGATCAATGTAAAACAAGAACGCTATCGGATCCTTTAAAATAACATTGTTTAGTGGTATTGTGATTCTAAAAGACGATATGGTGATCTTATTCGCAGCTGCCCTCACGTTGACATGAGATTAGATCCTGTTGGAGTAATATTAAAGTCTCGGATCTTTTTCTCTCTCTCAGTGACGTGTGTTATAAGGGTATTGGATCCTACGGTAGAGTATCTGGTAGCGTACGGAAGCTCTTATTCTGATCCTCTGTACAGTTTATAGAGGATTGGAACTCTGTTATTGGATACCCTGATGATACGATAGTGTTTTTGTTTTTGTTTTACGTATACACAGGCAGACATAGATACATACATACACGTAGACATATATATACACGTAGGTTTAGGTTAGGTTAGACACATCTGAAACACACCCAAAACGAATGACATATACGTTCTCCCATGACGATCCAACTAACACACATCACAAACCCTGGCACATCTTTTATTTCAACACACACACACACACACACACACATTCTGTTCTCAATCTTAGTCAAGCTCGGCGAAGTGTGTATAGAGAGAGAGAGAGAGAGAGAGAGAGAGAGAGAGAGAGAGAGAGAGAGAGAGTGGATGGGTAGAATGAGGAAGGAGATGACTAATATGGAGGTACGGAGGTGCTACTTGACCTGTTTTGGTACAAATTATTTATTTAATTTTTACTATACTGTAAATTAAACATGGTACAGTACTTATTTGTATTATTGGTGTAACGAGTATAAGTTTACTATTTTATGGCAATTTTATCATTTCAAGTCATCAACGTATTTGGAAGTTGTTCAAAACACATAAAAAAAAACCATCAGAAAAAACATAATTCAAACCTAACATAACCTAAACATAAAACCATAAAATGAGGCGATAATGAAAAAAAAATAATGATTTGGTATATTATGTAATTTGTGAGTTGGGAGCCAAATTAGAAGTCTCTACCTCCCATATAACTGAATTAAGTAAGTTGTCTCAGAGAGTGTAGTCATCTGCAGCCTCTTTAATGTAACTTACTTCGCAACAAAATATATATATTTTTACTGACTTTATTTAAATGCTCTCCCAAATCTTCTTTAACAGTTCTTCTGATCGCTGAGGTCCATATCCATCAGCATTGAAACATGTTGCTATTCTCAACCATGGTTGCTTCATTAGAGCAACAATCTTTTATTTTGTAAAATCTTTTCCTTCCCAATCTAATGGACTAATAAATCATGTTCTCTCTGCGATATAGGACTTGTTCCTTGATGATTGGGAGGAAAAATGTCCATGATGAGAGCGCAGTATACTCTTAATTTTAGCGCCAACGAAGGTAAACAAACACAACACGAGTAAGACGACCCATAATGCATCAGCGAGAAGACGACCCATAATGCATCAGCGAGAAGACGACCCATAATGCATCAGCGAGAAGACGACCCATAATGCATCAGCGAGAAGACGACCCATAATGCATCAGCGAGACCCATAATGCATCAGCGAGAAGACGACCCATAATGCATCAGCGAGAAGACGACCCATAATGCATCAGCGAGAAGACGACCCATAATGCATCAGCGAGAAGACGACCCATAATGCATCAGCGAAATGGACAGTATTACCAGACCTACCCTACTTGGTCCCACACGAAGGGGGAAGAGGTTCGAGCAATTAAAAATACCGCTTGAAAGAACAATCCCTTTAAGAAGAATTTTCGTCACAGAGGGAAGATGTTCTTTAATAATACAGGCATAAGACATCCAGAGAAGGAGGGTTTGGACGAGAGCACCATCCTCTTCTGCCAGCGCCGCCGTTACTACGTCTGGGTTAATGAGTGGCGAAGACCCCCTAATCTTCACTTGGTTATGCTCATAAACCTGTGTGTTAAATATCTTGATGATATACTCGTGTCCAGGGATTAGGCGGCGTGGAAAAGGTGTTTAGAACGGTGTATTAATTTATGGAGAGAGAGAGAGAGAGAGAGAGAGAGAGAGAGCGCTGTGGTAAGTGTGTTGTAGAGAGGTTAAGTTATCATACTCAAGGGGATAAATCTATATCTGTCTGTCTCTCTCATTCTCTCCGTTTGTCATTCTGTCCACTCTCTCTTTCTCCCCGTTTCTCTCTCTCTCTCTCCACCGTATTCATATTTTGTTACAAGTCCAACATTAACAAACCCCAGCAGTGACCAGAACCAGTACTACCAACGCTCACAACCCAGTAGATCTCCCAAGTAACCACGAAAAATCTATCCGACATCCCATAAAAATTAACCCAAACTCAGTCAAATTTACTGAAATTAACCAGAAATTCGTTTATATTCAGTTTTAATTATCCGTAAAATCGATAAAATCTTGTATAATCGATTCGTAGAGTTCTTTAAATTTGCTAAATGTAGCAATTTGAAAGGTAATCGCTAAAACACACTAAAGTGACCCAAACACAGCTGAATGTACTAAAACCAATGCTAATATCACTACGAATTCATTAATACTAACCACAAAAACGTTAAAATGTGCTGTAATCCACTATTAAAAAAAATGGACCTTAACATTGGCTAGATTCGGCGATTATTTCCGCTAAGTTGGCAACACTGATACTGTCATGGCGACCACTATCTCCCTGCCTCATCTACGGCCTCAGTAATCTGTGAAATGACTGGTTCTCGTCGGGGTTATTTTCATTTAATTTCAGAGCTACTTCATTACCTGGGGGACCTAATCTACCTGGGTACCCTAATCTACCTGGGGGACCTAATCTACCTGGGTACCCTAATCTACCTGTGGGACCTAATCTACCTGGGTACCCTAATCTACCTGGGGGACACTAATCTACCTGGGGGACCTAATCTATACTTAACATCAATGACTTCACTTCATAAACATCAATGGATCTTTATTAATTGATGATTTGAAATTTATTTGTTCTTTTTCCTGTCGGTGGAGAGAGGTTAGGTTAGGTTGGGTTAGGTTATGCAAAGGGTTCTTGGTGGCAGTGTGTGAGGTTAGGTTAGGTTAGGTTAGGTTAAGTGTCTGAGTGTGTCTGTCGTTTTATATCTTAGGTTTCCATCATTATCTCTTCCTCTCTCTCTCTCTATTATCTTTCTTTGTTTTCCTGTCTGCCATCGTTATTATTTCGTCTTTATGTCTTCATGTTTATCAGTTCTTCATAACTCTATCTTCTCGTCTCTGTTTTCTCTTTGTTCCTCTCCACCCCTCTCCGTCTCTCACCCGCTCCTCTCCGTCTCTCACCCGTTCCTCTCCATCCCTCTCCGTCTCTCACCCGCTTCTCTCCATCCCTCTCCGTCTCTCACCCGCTTCTCTCCATCCCTCTCCGTCTCTCACCCGCTTCTCTCCATCCCACTCCGTCTCTTACCCGCTCCTCTCCGTCTCCGCGTGGTGCCAGGCCTGCGGTGGGTGGTGGTATAGCGTTGCCGTGTGCAGGGAAACACAATATCTTGCTTCAGGTGAACTTTTTACCTCCGGCTGGTATAGGTAACGCGAGCTCGAGCTTAGGTTATGTAACACGAGTGACCGCAGCTCTCTTGGAACTTAATAGTGTATGTGTGTGTGTGTGTGTGTGGGTATGTGTGTGCGTGTGTGTGTGTGTGTGTTGTCCAGGTAGTGATTGTCCACACAGGTAACGTAACACTCAATTATGAAACACACCTGAGAATGATGTTATTTATGTTGTCAGGTGTAAAGTGATATACCTGTGTGTGTTGAGGTAAGGTGTATAAGGATCACCTGAAGATTAAACACCCTAAGGCTATTGGGGGTTAGATTAGGTTAGAATGACTTGTGTTAGGTTACATTAGGTTAGGTTAGATTTAATTAGGTAATGTTAGGTTAATTTATATTAGATTAGGTAAGGTTATGATTGATTAGGTTATGTTGTGTTAGGTTAGGTTAGCTTATGTTGGATTAAGGTAGTGCAGTTAATCTCAATCCAGGGTGGGTTAGTCTTCAGGTACACCCGAAAGTCTGTCATAAAGAGAGATGATAAAACCCTTGGTAATACTTATATGGCTTTAATATAAATGTTTTACATATTTACAAGTTGACTATTTACATTAAGTAACTAAAGCTATTTGTTTACAAGAGAGCGTATGACCCCGTGGTCGAGAGATACTGGCGCACAGACACAGGCGGTCAGCGGGTATTACTCCTCTCTGGGTCTCTAAATCGAGGGTGGCGACAGTGGGTGCGGACCTTACGGCAGGGGCGTCCCTGGACGGTACTGAAGGTGAGAAGGCCGTCCTGACAGTCTAGGGGCGTCACCTGGGTGTACACGTCGTAGGTGTTGTCGCGGGGCCTATCGTAATGCTCCGACCCGCCAACATTGTCGTAGTGTGAGGCGACGATGTGAAGCTTCTCTCGTCTCTGGGATCTGTTGTAGTCAATACAGTCCACCAGGTCAAGGTCAAGAGGTGGTGGGCAGGATGGTGGGGGCGGGAGGAAGGCGGCCCAGTTGACCTGTACGCCCGAGTTCTCGCTCTGGTGTGGCCAGGGAGCGCCGTGACGCTGGCGGGGTGAAGGTGGAGCCAACAGGGCCGTGGTGGCATAAGGTTCAGCCGTGGTGTGGTTGTGACGCTGAACCCGAGGCTCGGCGTACTCGTTCACCAGCGGGTCTGGCAGGAGTCGTGCTGAAGACAGACTTGAGTCCTTGTCGGTATCTGTTGGCCGCCACACCTTCTGCTCGCTGTACATGTTGACGGACTGGTGGTCGGGGTAAATGGACGGGTCCTGGAAGAGGGCGGGGGCGTGGGGCGGGTTGGAGGGCGGCGCCTTATGCCTCAGCGGCCTCATGTACATCAGGGTGGCCAGGACCAGCAGCATCACCAGCGGTATCACCAGGTATATCAACCACGCCGGCTGTGGTGGGGCGTAAAGGATGGAGCCACCACCTCCCGCAGCTGTGTTGACCTCCTGTAAGTTGTGAGCATCGCTGGGTCCAGCATCCAACAAGACGGGGTCGCTGAAGGGTCCAGGACCTGCCCCTGTGAGGGCCGCCACACGCACGGTGTAGAGACGGTCGGGAAGGAGGCCGCGAGCCTCCAGCCAGGGGCTCACCACCGTCTCTGTGGTGTGGCTGCCATTGTGACTTATTGTTACCTGGTAGCCCAGTAGCTCCCCGCGGGCCTCCTCGGGACTCACACTCGACCACCTGATGAGTACAGAACCTTCCTCACGCACCGTCACGTGCACATCACCTGGCGCAGCCGCCGGCACTGTAAACATGAAAAACCTGGGTAAATCCATGGATAAGAGAGAGAGAGAGAGAGAGAGAGAGAGAGAGAGAGAGAGGTAAACCACTAACAGCGACAGGTAAACGAGGGTTGAGTCACACATAACTCACTACTGGTCACAGATATATAAGACAACAACAAGTATCAGTAAACTAAGATATTATAACACGAAGAAATCTGTCGATACATTTCTTGGCTTTAGGTAAAAAGATATTGGTGGCAGTGCTATGGGGAAGACTGGCATGACTTACCGTCCTCAGGTGTGGTGAGAGAGAGGGAGTTACTAGGTGAGCCCTCGATGCTGTGCCAGAAGGGGACGACGAAGAACGTGTAGGCAGTGTTGGGTCGCAGGTCGTGCTGGAGGTGGGAGGAGGACGTGGCGCCCAGGAGGGTGGCCACCTGCACTGTGCTCACCTCACCCACCGAGTACACCAACACGCCTTCCACGGACTCGTCTGTCGGGGCCAGGAAATCCCAAGTGAGTAGGACGCTGTCGGGGGCGGTGATGGTGGAGTCAATGAGGGTTATGACAGCGCGGGAGAGGCGGCGACGGGCCTGACGGAGTTGATCCACAGTGAGGCTGGGTTCTCGGGGTGTGTGAGTTGTGACCGGGTCTGACCAGGGGCTCGGGAACGACGCCCCTCGAATGCTGACGGCGCGGACGAGGAAGGTGTAGGTGTGTCCGGGAGTGAGATGACTCACGATGGATGATTCTTGCCTGATGACGGCGTCAGCCACCCGCCACTCGTCCCAGCCCTGCCGCCAGTACTCCACTCTGTACCACTGGCCAGACTCGGAGCTCATCTGGGAGTTGGGGAGCCAACTTAACTCTACCGCCGTCTTGTTGAAGGTCACAAGACGAGGCTTCGAGGGTGGTGCCGGCAGCCTCAGCGACAGCGGCTGTACTTGGTACTGAGCATAATCAGTCACTCGCAATACTGCTGCCTGCTGCACGGTACCTGTGTCTGCCGTGACGCTGCAGGTGTAGATGCCCGCGTCGTCGGCTTCACGTACGTCCTTCAGGATGAGGGCGCCGTTGTCTGGCAGGGACAAGCGGGAGTCAACGGCGTCTTTATTGAGTTTACGGGCCGGCAGGTGGACGGCCGGGCGGTACCACCAGGAGATAGTGGCCTTGGCAGCCTCGCTCACTACCTCACAGGGGAAGGAGACAACACTGCCGGGGGCAACCATCAGGTCCTGGGGTCCTACACCCACTACGGGCGGCGGGTGAGCGGGCACCACCATCATCTCCACCCTCCCACTCACGCCCCCGCCAGTACTGACGCCCCAGCAGTAGTAGATGCCACTGTCTCGTGTGGTTACATGTTTCAGCAGGAGGGTGTGGCCATCGTCAGACACGGTAGCGTGGCCACTTATCTGCCCGGGGGCGAGAAGGCCACTTCTGTCCAGGCTGGGGAGGCGCCACAACACCAGCGGCTGAGGTTCACCTTTAATGCGACACGGAACCTCCGCCGTGCTTCCAGCCACCACCTGCAGGAGCTGTGGACGCCGTGTCAGCTCAGGAGCATCGACAACGGTGAGGGTGGCTCGCGCTGCAGCGATGCCTGCCTTGCTCTGCGCCTCACACAGGTACACGCCGGAGTCATCAGTCGCTACCTGCTGCAGCACCAAGCGCTCGTCCTCTGTTCTGGCACGATCCGGCGGTAACTCGCCTTCCAGCCTCCGCCAGGTGATCATGGGCATGGGCGAGCCCCGCGCCCGACACGACAGTTCTACCCTCATCCCTGACGAGGCTGTGACGTTCACTGGTCGCTCCTCGAACCAGGGCGGAGCTGTGGGGAGTCAAGGCGTTTGTTAATTAACAGAGTGCAAACTGACAACCCGAAGAGAAATGCAGATATGTTGGGTCTTATTCATAATGAGTTACAACACAACTTACTCATGACGGTGAGTTCGGTGGGCTGGGACTCCCTGGTGCCGGCGGCGTTGCGGGCGCGACACACGTAGGTGGCAGAGTCTTCCTGGACGGCCTGACTGATGACCAGGTCTCCCTCCTCAGTGACGCTGACGCGGGAGGAGTTGGTCACCTGGCGGCCGTCCCTCAGCCAGGTCAGCTCCGGGGCCGGGGTGGCCTTGGGTGGCCGGCAGGGCAGGGTGAGGGAGTCACCGACGCGGGCCCTCATCGTCGACTCCGCCTGGCTCTGGAAGTCGTAGGCCAGCGTGGCCACGGTCAGTGTGGCGTTGTTGGAGCGTGTAGCACCGTAGCTGTTGGAGGCCACGCACCAGTACGTGCCCGTGTCACTGTCCCTCCCGGAGGAGGTGACACGGAGGAAGAAGAGGGAACCAGAGGGCAGGAGAACACGGTGGGAGCGAGGATCTTGTGTCAACGTGACCACCTCCTGGCCGTCACGGAACCACCTGACGCGGGCGGCCCCTGAGGCGGCACAGTTGAGGGTGGTGGGGTCGTTACGGCGAACCACCATGTTATTGGGGTGTTCCTTGATGACTGGCGGCCCTTCTGTAGGAACAAGATGGTGACGTGTTACTGGTGGTGTTACTTCTGTAGGAACAAGACTGTCCTGTTTTACTGGTGGTGTTCCTATAACGAAACAGGAACATTCGTGTACTATACAGGAACACGGATAAACGAAGGCTGGCTGTGATTGGTCAGTAGAGTACACAGGGAAGAAGAAAAAGGAGGAGAAGGAGAAAAAAGGAAGACGGAAGATAAGAAGAAAGTGGGAAGAAGGACGATAAGAAAGAGATGTAAAAAGAAACAGAAGATATTAATTAACATCCCCATTTTCTTTTACACATAACTCACACAAGCGGTAACTAAACTAAAATACACCACAAATATCATTATATATGCACAAAAGAACTTCACCACTGTAAGATAACCATTACTTTCTTCACTATATCTTACAGGTTCCAAAAAAAAAAGGTTTATAAAAGACTAATGGGCAAAAAAATTGAGAGTAATTAACTTCCTGAGTGAGTTAACGGCTTCTAATGAACCGCAAGATAAAGTTAATGAAGGTAATTGATTTTAATTACTCTAACTTTTGTATCGAATACTTGTTATGTCTCGTTCACACACACACACACATGTCTTATTGCAATATAAAACTGTTTCCTCTTACTAATGAATGTTGTAAGCTCCAGCCACAGACACACGCCTCAGCAGGTCAGTGTGTACTCGTTATCTTGGGTTCTGGTTAGGTTAGGTTAGGTTAGAGACGTATCCTAACCTAACTTAACCTAACCTAACTTAACCTAACCTAACTTAACCTAACCTAACCTAACTTAACCTAACCTAACCTAACCTAACTTAACCTCGTCACCTCTCACAACCCCTCATCAGAGAGAGAGGAGAGAGAGAGAGAGAGAGAGAGAGAGTTTAATGGATCCTTTCCTCCATGAGAAAAGAATTTGTAGGGAGGAGGAGGAGGAGGAGGAGGGGTTCATGTCAAGCCCCTCGCCTCATAAAACAACGTGTCCTCCCCCCTCCATGAAAACAGAGGGCAGGAAGTGAGGTGTGAGGAACCAAGTGGTGGATCGGTCACTACCTCACCTTTCACACCCTACCTCGACCACCACCCTCACGTCACACTGGTCGAGGGGCAAGATAATGACATTCCACGACCCTTTTCCCTCCCCCTCTCTCTCTTTCTCCTGTATACTCATTCTCTCCCTCACCCCCTCTCTTTCTCCCTTATACTCATTCTCTCCCTCGCCCTCTCTTTCTCCCTTATACTCATTCTCTCCCTCGCCCTCTCTCTTTCTCCCTTATACTCATTCTCTCCCAGCATCTCCCTCTCCATCTGAGACGATAGCTCTACTTAATACCATGTTTTGTGTCGAACATTTGAAGAACAATGGTCCCCAAACTACAGCTTAAACTGACTTGATGTTCTATCTAAGTAATCCCGACTACCTCGCTAACCTGCCACAAAAGACTCTCTTTGGAGCATGGCTTCAAAAGTGTTGCAGATCTCTTGAAACTGAATGTCCTAATCACCCCAGACGAAGCCATTAATGCCACTCCTCCTTGGCTAGACGTATCAGTTCCTATTAATTACACTCCTGTTAGTAGTTAGCAAATGTTAAACACCAATGTGGTGAGATGTATTACACAAGAAACTATTAACAGACACATAGAGAGTATTAAATCAAGTGAATGTTATGCTTTTACTGATGGTTCTGTGCAGACAAACACAGGTAGAACAGGCTGTGCATTTGTTATATATAAAGAAAAGGAGATGAGTGTGTCAAATATGCAAAGGCTGAACATCTGGGTCAGCACAACACAAACTGAACTATTGGGAATCTACTTAGCCACAGACTACCTAAAAGAAAATGGAGGTGGGGTGAGATCTGTGACTCTTAAGTTGCCTGTGGACCCGTGGTAAGAAAATAATTGTGATAACTGATAATGAGAACAACTTTCATATTAAATTTGTGTGGATTCCGTCCCATGTTTGAATTAGGTATCATGACCGTGCTGATAGACTGGCCAATGAGGTATGTAAGAAAGAAAATGTTGACCGTGACCTTGGCCTGTCTAATGCTGTACTTAAAAACATACAAGTCAAAATCAAGACAGATTTTGTGACACGAGCTACCGGTATGGCCAGCATAAGGACAGAACCAGACAATGTGATGTAGTCGTGGCCAGAATACAGACACATCCGGCAGGTTAGTAACGCTGTACCCATACCGGAACATTCAGCCTGTAAACTTTGTGATAAACCTTTAAAGCATACACTTGAACACTATATTATTGAACGTAACACTGTCAAAGACTTCAGGCCACCTAACTTATTGTATCATGAACTATATAATTACTAAATTGAATCAGGAGTGATCGAGGACATTCTTGCTGTCTATCGTAAATTTGCTAGTCCACACTGATTAGTCCTCAAATAGAATATGATTTCTACTGTGCGAACACTTTCTATCTAACTTCTTACCAATTCCATTATCACTCTCTTACAACCACTCACGCCCTCAACATTATTACAAAAATACCTGCAGAAGGCCCTGACGAAGTAGCTCTTGCTTACACCCAGCTGTTCTCACTCATATCACTCCAAGAACTTATGTGATACACCACACCGTAACTAACTGCGTCATGAATAAGTTAATCCACTAATTGTATTTCTGGATTAATGTTCACTTTATTCTTCCCTAAAATCTCTTTCACTCTCGCAGTCAGTCATTTAATGATTTTGTCCTTCGTATTTTTTTTAATTTTCATAGGCCTATACCGTATGAATTTATATAAAGGCTTACATGTAGATATAAAACACAGACGTTTACACATATCATCAACTTAGATATATCTACACACTGTTAATATCAAGTTAAGACACTCAACACACACACACAGTCTAAGTCACCAAGTAGTACAGGTATAAAGCCTCTCACCTGGCTGCTGAGCTGAGGTGGCGCCTAAGAGGAACACCACCAAGATGAGCTCCATTGTCACACCCACCACAGCTTGTCTACCTCTTCGGGGAAACTCTCTACGTCTCACACCCTCTAACATCATCAAATCACATCTAGGTTCACGACCTTCATTTAACTCAACAACTGCTGCTTTCATCATCAGCTTAACTTAAACCACGAGTAAATTAATATCATTCACGAAATGTTGTTTTGAAAGTTGTCGTCGAATATAGCAAGTTCCTTCCTGGAGAGACGGTCGTGTATACACCCTCCTCTTCCAAGGTCTTGACACAAACTGAGCGGCTGAGCCCGGTGAGCTACCAGCCTGGTGAGTTGAGGAGGTACGGTGATGTGGTGGGGTGTATTGACGATGATGGGCGGACTTAAGGTGTTAGTAGGTGCATCTATAACTATATCTCCCACTTGCTCCCCACACACACCCACCCACATACACACACACACTCCTCACCCCCCACACACAGGGCCGTCCCTTGGAGGGTGAGGGGTCCAGGGCAACTCAGCCCTGTATATTTAAACCTCTCTCTGTCCATGTAATCCAGTTGCCTCTGAAGATGTCTTGAATAAAGACGAAAGCTAAGGTGCTCCGTTGTTTCCCCTTTCCCGTGTGATTTTATCAAGATTTATCTTACCCACGTTTTCATTGTGGTGGATATATATATATATATATATATATATATATATATATATATATATATATATATATATATATATATATATATATATATTGTTACGAGTTGGGGATTTAGAATATAGTTATACGTCTACCCAGATCCCAACAGGTAAAAAAAAAACAAAGACAATCGGACTATAAAAGGGTAGACAAAGGATGCGAGTTTTCGTTGTATATAATAAAGTACCATAAATCCCTTAACAAAATATTCAGCTTATAAATTACCCTTAACCAAACTTAACCTAAACATTAACAGTATATACATATTAATAAACATAAAACAATCTTGAAGCAAGTGGACGTGGGGGAGTTAATACAAAATATAAGTACTTAAGTGAGGAGCTGAGATGGCTGACGAGTAAGGCTGAGTATTGTAGAAGACGGTAGGTAGTCACTGCACGTAGGTTTAGAGGATAGATGATCCTGTGGTCACTTCCCAGAGCCAAGTCTCTCTCCTCGAATTGGAGCTGACAAAGAAGACTTTGAGGAGGTGACGCAACAACCAGGATATGGAGAAGAGAAACCCCGGAGTGGTAACTAAGACGAGTCATACTCGTGTCTCGTCCCTAGATGGCGTTGCTCGTGGTGCTGGGTGGAGGGGTTCGTAACAATATATATATATATATTTATATATATTAGATTTAGTTTTATTTACATTATCTTTAGTAGTAGATGGGGAAGACACTCCTTCAGTTGACCCCACGTAGTGAGATCAGGCATTGGGAGGATTGTCATGGTTTGGGTGAAGTATAAACCTGGGCTCAGAAAATCACAGGAGAGGCTTTCATTCTGAGTCCATGTTCTTTTGGAAAAGGATTCTTCGGAGACGATGAAGAAGGCTCCGCAAATGTATGCGTTGACGAGGGTGGGGCTTCATGGCCTGGCTGGCGAGATGACACACCTCTGGGTGGACCCCGAGCACCATGTTGGCCAGGTTAGACAACAAAACTCCAAAGGAGTATGTGTCCGAGGCCTTCGTGCTGCTATAGCCCTCACGGACCTCGGGGGCCATCCAGGGGTACTTCCCTGTACCGCCGACGAACTTAATGTTCTCGTGGCAGTAACAGGCCAAACCCACGTCAATAATGCTGACTTGTGGGTTGGTTGGTGGACCGTTGATGAGAATGTTGTCAAACTTTAAGTCATTATGGATCAATCCTGTTTGGTGAAATTCGTACAGTTGCTCCCCAATCCGCAGTGCCAAGTCTAGTATGTCATACTGGGTGAATTTTTCCTCCACAAATTCTTCAATAATGTCTTTCAGTGTGTAACGCCCTTTGAATTCCTGCAAAATAGCTGGTGGATCTTGACAGAAACCGGTTACCCTTGGTGCCCCGCCGGCCCCGTTGAGATGAACTAGTTTTTCTGCCTCTTTCCAGAAGCTCTTTAGTGAAAGAGTCTTATGGGCCACCTTCAGGACGTTTTCCTCCCCATACCAATCAACTAAGTAGGCAGCGCCGTGTGACCCTGATCCTAGACAGGTATAGCTGTAATCAACGAGGTACTGCACCTCTTCCCAGTCGAGAACATAAACACAATCCATCTTAAAAATTTATTTTGCCAAGTTCTTCTGCAGCTCTAGGGACCTCAAGTTGAAATTCGGGGTTGAAAATTAAAAGTCAGTTGGATTTTGCTCTGTTTATACTGCGCAGCACACCAGAGAGTGTAAATGTATGTGTAGTAATGATATCATTGGAACATGTAGCACTACTATAGTAGAGGAAATGTAATGATGTTATAGTGAACATGTAGCACTAGTGTAGGAGAGGAAATGTGGTAATGATGTTATAGTGAACAAGGTAGCACTAGTGTAGTAGAGGAAATGTAATGATGTTATAGTGAACATGTAGCACTAGTGTAGTAGAGGAAATGTAATGATGTTATAGTGAACATGTAGCACTAGTGTAGTAGAGGAAATGTAGTACTGATGTTATAGTGAACATGTAGCACTAGTGTAGTAGAGGAAATGTAGTAATGATGTTATAGTGAACAAGGTAGCACTAGTGTAGTAGAGGAAATGTAGTACTGATGTTATAGTGAACAAGGTAGCACTAGTGTAGTAGAGGAAATGTAGTAATGATGTTATAGTGAACATGTAGCACTAGTGTAGTAGAGGAAATGTAGTACTGATGTTATAGTGAACAAGGTAGCACTAGTGTAGTAGAGGAAATGTAGTAATGATGTTATAGTGAACATGTAGCACTAGTGTAGTAGAAATGTAATGATGTTATAGTGAACAAAAGGTAGCACTGGTGTAGTAGAGAAATGTATTAATGATGTTATAGTGAACATGTAGCACTAGTGTAGGAGAGGAAATGTGGTAATGATGTTATAGTGAACAAGGTAGCACTAGTGTAGTAGAGGAAATGTAGTAATGATGTTATAGTGAACATGTAGCACTAGTGTAGTAGAGGAAATGTAGTAATGATGTTATAGTGAACAAGGTAGCACTAGTGTAGTAGAGGAAATGTAGTAATGATGTTATAGTGAACATGTAGCACTAGTGTAGTAGAGGAAATGTAGTAATGATGTTATAGTGAACATGTAGCACTAGTGTAGTAGAGGAAATGTAGTAATGATGTTATAGTGAACATGTAGCACTAGTGTAGTAGAGGAAATGTAGTAATGATGTTATAGTGAACAAGGTAGCACTAGTGTAGTAGAGGAAATGTAGTAATGATGTTATAGTGAACATGTAGCACTAGTGTAGTAGAGGAAATGTAGTACTGATGTTATAGTGAACAAGGTAGCACTAGTGTAGTAGAGGAAATGTAGTACTGATGTTATAGTGAACATGTAGCACTAGTGTAGTAGAGGAAATGTGGTAATGATGTTATAGTGAACATGTAGCACTAGTGTAGTAGAGGAAATGTAGTACTGATGTTATAGTGAACAAGGTAGCACTAGTGTAGGAGAGGAAATGTGGTAATGATGTTATAGTGAACATGTAGCACTAGTGTAGTAGAGGAAATGTAGTACTGATGTTATAGTGAACAAGGTAGCACTAGTGTAGGAGAGGAAATGTAGTAATGATGTTATAGTGAACAAGGTAGCACTAGTGTAGTAGAGGAAATGTAGTAATGATGTTATAATGAACAAGGTAGCACTAGTGTTGTAGAGGAAATGTAGTAATGATGTTATAGTGAACAAGGTAGCACTAGTGTAGTAGAGGAAATGTAGTAATGATGTTATAGTGAACAAGGTAGCACTAGTGTAGGAGGAAATGTAGTAATGATGTTATAGTGAACAAGGTAGCACTAATTAACCCAGTAGAGGAAATACCAATTACTGATGTTATAGTGAACAGGTAGCATAGTGTGGGAGAGGAAATGTAATGAGAAGCATTATTTATAGTGAACAAGGTAGCACTACTATAGTACAGAGGAAATGTAGTAATGATGTTATAGTGAACAAGGTAGCACTAGTGTAGTAGAGGAAATGTAGTAATGATGTTATAGTGAACATGTAGCACTAGTGTAGGAGAGGAAATGTAGTAATGATGTTATAGTGAACAAGGTAGCACTAGTGTAGTAGAGGAAATGTAGTAATGATGTTATAATGAACAAGGTAGCACTAGTGTTGTAGAGGAAATGTAGTAATGATGTTATAGTGAACAAGGTAGCACTAGTGTAGTAGAGGAAATGTAGTAATGATGTTATAGTGAACATGTAGTACTAGTGTTGTAGTGAACATGTAGTACTAGTGTTGTAGTGAACATGTAGTACTAGTGTTGTATTGAACATGATGTACTAGTGTTGTAGTGAACATGATGTACTAGTGTTGTAGTGAACATGTAGTACTAGTGTTGTAGTGAACATGTAGTACTAGTGTTGTAGTGAACATGTAGTACTAGTGTTGTAGTGAACATGTAGTACTAGTGTTGTGGTGAACATGTAGTACTAGTGTTGTGGTGAACATGTAGTACTAGTGTTGTGGTGAACATGTAGTACTAGTGTTGTGGTGAACATGTAGTACTAGTGTTGTAGTGAACATGTAGTACTAGTGTTGTAGTGAACATGTAGTACTAGTGTTGTAGTGAACATGTAGTACTAGTGTTGTAGTGAACATGTAGTACTAGTGTTGTAGTGAACATGTAGTACTAGTGTTGTAGTGAACATGTAGTACTAGTGTTGTAGTGAACATGTAGTACTAGTGTTGTAGTGAACATGTAGTACTAGTGTTGTATTGAACATGATGTACTAGTGTTGTAGTGAACATGTAGTACTAGTGTTGTAGTGAACATGATGTACTAGTGTTGTAGTGAACATGATGTACTAGTGTTGTAGTGAACATGATGTACTAGTGTTGTAGTGAACATGAAGTACTAGTGTTGTAGTGAACATGATGTACTAGTGTTGTAGTGAACATGATGTACTAGTGTTGTAGTGAACATGATGTACTAGTGTTGTAGTGAACATGATGTACTAGTGTTGTAGTGAACATGATGTACTAGTGTTGTAGTGAACATGATGTACTAGTGTTGTAGTGAACATACCAGTACTAGTATTTGTAGTAGACATGATGTACTAGTGTTGTAGTGAATATGTATGATAATAATTTTGCTAACTTCCATATTGCTTTGATCACACACACACACACACACACACACACACACACAAGATTTAGCACAATCGGTCAAGCAAAACTAAGCTCCCCGGTGCCCAGTGGTGTAAAAAGGGCATCAGGGAGATGATTGGGGAAGCGTGTAGGGGGAGACTTACTGGGAGAGAGGTGTGGGGGGCTTACCTGGGCTGGGAAGGGAGCGTGTGGGGGGGTTACCTGGGGCCTGGAGGAGCGTGTGGGGGAGCTAACCTGGGGAGGGGGGAGCGTGTAGGGGAGTTTACCTGGGGCCTGGAGGGGGAGCGTGTAGGGGAGCTAACCTGGGAGGGGGAGGGTGTAGGGGAGCTTACCTGGGGCCTGGAGGGGGAGCGTGTAGGGGAGCTAACCTGGGAGGGTGAAGTGGAGCGTGTAAGGAGAAGGGTCAGAGGGAAGTCCCACAAGCAGCTGGTGGTCAGGTCACCGAGGTGTTTGTTGTGGCTTGGAGAATAGAGGAGGAAGAGCAGTGGTAAAATGGGAGATAAATGAGAGATGGAGATAAGGAAGAGAGAGGGATGGGAAGAATATTGCAAGAGAAAGAGATATTGAGAGACAAATGGATTGGTGTGTGTGTGTGTGTGTGTGTTTTGTGTGTGTGTGTGTGTGTGTGTGTGTGTGTGTGCATTCTCTACAAACAGAAAATTTCCCTAATACCTCAGTTATCTCTCTCTCTCTCTCTCTCTCTCTCTCTCTCTCTCTCTCTCTCTCACTAAACTGCTCTTTCTCACTATATTAAACTCATTCAATTCTTTTTACCTCCTCACCCCACTATTCAATGAGGTGAAATCCCCCCCCATTACCACTATCACCCCATCCTACCATTGACTAACAGGGACTCACAATAATGGCTTCAATGGGTTTTCTTTCTTACATACCTCATTGGCCAGTCTATCAGCACAGTCATGATACCTAATTCAAACATGGGACGGAATCCACACAAATTTAATATGAAAGTTGTTCTCATTAGAAGTTATCACAATTATTTTCTTACCACGGGTCCACAGGCAACTTAAGAGTCACAGATCTCACCCCACCTCCATTTTCTTTAAGGTAGTCTGTGGCTAAGTAGATTCCCAATAGTTCAGTTTGTGTTGTGCTGACCCAGTTGTTCAGCCTTTGCATATTTGACACACTCATCTCCTTTTCTGTTAAGGCATAAGACTTACAATTTTTGTCATTTTCGGCCAAAAAATGGATTTTGTTCAAAATTTCAGTATAGGTCCTCCTGAATGTGCTGCTTAAGGATCTGTTAACCAAAATTTGATATCTTGATTATAACTTGTTCAAATGGCTTTTAGAAACTGTTCAAATGATTTTTAGAATATTTTAATTTC